ATATCACTTAACAGATTTATATAGTGCACAATAAAGATTAAAGCATAGCCAGGCATGGGACTAGAGTGTTGGTTCAGTGGCTGCGAATGCTGGCTGCTCTTGCAGAGACCCTAGGTTCTGTTCTTAGCATGTAGGGATCCAATGCCCCTAGCCTCCTAAGGTATACCTGCACATGCTGTATGAAACATGCATGAAGGCAAAATACTCATACATATAAAACAAAATATTTAAAATATGTATTTTATTCTATATAATCTTTAAAAAAAATCTATATAAATGCCAAGCCAGCCAGGGCTTCATGAGACCCTGTCTCAAAACACAAAAATAATTCCCACCCTCATCAAAGCCTTATATATCAGAGTTTACAAATCACCTCCCAAATAAGGCTCAAGAATAGCATGAACAGACAGCCCCACAGGCATGGAGGCCTCACTTCTCAGGGCTTATTGTTCATTCATGTCTTCTCTGTAAGTTCTATTGCTGAGTTGAAAGTCCTGACATATGCTAGACATTAAGTGTAATGGCATTTCTATTATATTTTAATAAATAAAGCTTGCCTGAAGATCAGAGAGTAAAAGAGCCCCTTGATCAGTCTTACAGACCAGGCAGTGGTGACACACACCTTTAATCCCAGTAGCCACGCTAGTTGTCACAGAAAGCAGGTGGTGCACGCCCTTAATCCCAGCCCTAGAGAAGATTATAAAATGGGAGGAGATGGCTCTCACTCTCATTTTGAGATTCCTGGAGGCAGGACCGCCATTTTCAGACTGAGATTGAGGTAAGAGCCAGTGGCTGGCTGTTTTGCTTTTCAGATCTTCAGGTTGAACCCCAAGTTCTCTCACTGAGTTTTTATTACTCACGCATCAATTAAGCACTTATCAGATAAGTGCCAATGTTTTTCCCATTCTCTCTGGGCTTTCAACTTTTTGAAGCCTTTAATTTTAATGAATTTTAATTTATCTCTTTTTTCTTGTCTATACTTTTGATACATTTAAGAAATCAACTAATTTCAAATCACAAAGATTTAGTTTACATCAATGTCTTCAACAAAGTTTGCTTTGTTTTGTTTTTTAGGTTCCCAATGGGCCATCAAACTATATTGCTGACTTTTATATACATTGTGAGGCAGGAGTCCTGATTCAGTCTTTTTAATTTAGCTTTAATATTTTTGAGACAGAGTCTCATGTAATCCAAGCTGCCTTGTAACTCTGACTGTGCCTAAGATGGCCTTGAACCCTGAGCCCCACATGCCCAGTGCTGGGGTGCAAACCTGCACCACCATTCCTAGAGCCTGTCTTTGCAGGTGCATACACCCTGCGGTCCCAGCACTGTCTGTTAAAAACATTATCTTCCCCATGAATTGTCCAGATAATCTCGTCACTCAACTGACTATAAACGGCTTGTATACTCTTTTAATTCTCTATAATAATTGACTGATGTAATTTGGTGCGTCTGCATATGACAGTGGGTGCAGCGGCTCACAGGGACATGTAGAGGTCAGAGGACAACTTTGGGAAGTCAGTTCTCCCTTGTCACCTTGTGGGACCAAGGGGTCAAACCCGGGTCATGTGGATTCTGCAGCAAGCACTTTTACTTGCTGAGCCGTTTGCCTGCCCCTGAACTCTATTTCTATACCACTGACCTGTGTGTCCATCCTCTGCCAATACTACAGTTTGAGGTCTCCAGCTTACTAACTGGAGGAGGAGGAGACAGCGGCGAGGAGGTGAAGCTTAGGTGAGGACGGCGTCAACAGCGCAGTGTCCAGCTGGACACAAGGGAGCAGACCTGTGACCCCTGCAGCCAGACTGCGGCAGGAGGATCTATCACGAGTTCCAGAACAAGGTGCCCATATGAGACCTGGGCTTTAGTTTTAACTCGTCTCCTTTCAGACACTAAATGTTGGGGATGAACATGAGGGTGTGCCCAGCACTCAGGACACTGCTCTGAGTTCAGGGCTAGGTGGGCCACTCGTGAGCTCCAGGCAGCCAGGTATATATGGTGGATCTGTCTCTAAATATTTTAGTGTTGGGACTAATGAGTCCTGGCCTTCAGCTGCTCTTCCCTGCTGGAGCCTTCTAATTGAAGTGACTAAAAGCTGTGCTTTGCCTAGAGGATCAGAGGATGGGATTTTCACCATTGACTGTAGGGTCTGTGTGTTGGTCTGTCTCTGTGGGTGTATTCTCAACCTCCAGCCCCTTGCCTGAAGCTCACGAACTGTGTTCTAGCGCATAGAGCGCAGACAGTGGCCGCTGTGTGCGGCATTTTAGGGCCAGAGAGATGACCTGGTGGTTGAGAGTACTTGCTGCTCTTTTCAGGTGACCCAGGGTCAATTTTCAGCTTAATGTCTATGTCTAATGACTAACAACCATCAACTGCAGTTCCAAAAAATTCAACCCTTTTCTGGATTCCTTGGGCAATGCATATGCCTGGTGCTCAGGTATACTTGCAGACAAAACACATATACACATAAATTTAACCATCTTAAAAAAATAGTAACAATAACTTAAGGGCAAGTGATGTGCATACAAAAAATTTTCCTCCATGAATAATTAACCTAAGAATCAAAAAGGGAAAATCATTTAAGACTTAGACAATTTCAACTTACTCTTTCATCAATGATTCTCATAAGCCATCTTCTAGTTAGATTATGTCTCTTGACAGCCTAAAAAACAAGGGTGTTGTAAATGTTTAGAAGGTACTAGGAAGTGACTTCTCTAGATAGGAACAAAATACACCAAGCAACGCAAAGGTAAGTAAGAGGACACTTGGGACAGCTCATCCAATAGGCAGACACTCTGAAAAGACCTCAGGAGAAAAGCTGTGATCCGGAGAAGCACGTAGGCTCAGTATGGCTTCCCAGTCTTCCCTCCTGCTGCACCGGTACACATCTAGTGATTCAACTTTCTTTCTCTTTTCTTACTTTTGGATGTTAGATGCCTTCATTTTTTTTTGTTTTATTTTTGATATTAAAATATAATGATACTGGGTGATGGTGGTGCACACCTTTAATCCCAGCACTCGAGAGGAAGAGGCAGGTGGATCCCTGTGAGTTCCAGGACAGCCAGGACTGTTTCAAAGAAACCTTGTCTCAAAAAACCAAGCTAACACACACACACACACACACACACACACACACACACACACAGTGACAGCATTTCTCTCTTCCCCTCCCTCCCTTTCAGCACTCCCATATGCCTGATTATACTTTCAAATAAAACCAAGAACTCAGTAGAGAACTGCCTGTCTACCTGACTTCAATCCTAGCTTACTACATTCAGTCTTTCTCTTACAGCACAGTCTCGTTAGCAGAAATAACCACATCCCCCAAAATGCAGAGCATCTTAAACCCTGAGAACAACATGGTACGGTGCCACACACTGGTGATCCCACTACTTGGGAGTCCCAGGAGGAGAATCATTGTGAGTTTGAGTCCTAGCTATAGAGCAAGGCCTAAACAAATAAGAGCAGTGCCGGGGAAGGCAAGTGGACGTGTGTCCTTCCAGCAGGGACACCTGGGAAAGACACATTTCCTATAAGCACTCCACTAAGAATCCATATCCTGAGTCTAATGAGAAAATATTGCAACAAACCCAAAATGAGTGTACTGAAAGGGAAAAACCAAGTTAAGACTGACCATACTTCTTAAGAAAATGGCTGGAAGGGTTGGAGAGATGGCTTAGTGGTTAAGAGCACTGGTTGCTCTTCCAGAGGTCCTGAGTTGAATTCCCAGCACCCACACGGCAGCTCACAATCACCTGTAGTGGGATCCGACGTCCTTTTCTGGCATAAGTCATATAAGCAGATAGAGCACTCATACACATATATGGCTAAATAAATCTTTTTTAAAAAGGAAGGAAGGAAAAAAAGAAAAAAATAGATGAACAGTGGTGGCCCTCGCCTTTAGTCCCAGTAATCAGGAGAGGCAGCGGCAAGCAAATCTCTTGAGTTTGCAGGCAGCCTAGTCTACAGAGTGAGTTACAAGACAACCAGGGTTACACAGAGAAACCATAGAAAACTGGAAAGAAAAATGTTGACAGGGTGTGAGGTGGTGGTGGTGGTGGCTGTGCCTCCATGGTAGAGTGTGCGCCTAGTGTGGAAATCCTAGCTTCTATGTCACCCGGGGCATGATGAAGCACACCTGTAACTTCAGGATGTAAAATGCTGAGGCAGGAGAACTACTACAAGTTCTAGACCAGCCTGGGAATACACGGTGAGTTCCAAGTCATCCTGGCTCCAGAGAGACACTGGGTGGGTTGCGGAGTAGACTGAATTTTCAAGCTGCTCTGGCTACATGAGAGACTTGTCTCTAAACCTTTTGCAGGGGTGGGGTGGAGCTGCATGTTTTCTTTTGAGATGGGGTCTTGTCACACAGCATAGGCTGTGACTTCCAGCCCTCCGGCCTTGGCCTCCTAGGAATTAGGATTAAAGTTACTACTACTACACCCGGTAGGAAAATACTCCCATTATCAGTAAGTCCCCCAATACTTAGTGTGTTACATTATGGAAATGATGTAACACACTTAAATGAGCCAGGAAGACTTATTTGTGTGAATTCATATACATACACGTGTGTGTGTGTGTACACGTTAAGACGGAGGGGAAAGGAGGGACAAGGAGAATGAAGGGGAAGACGAGCGAGGAAGAGAGAACACTCGCTTGTCAATGATCACACAGAGCTGAGGACACAGCTCAGGGCTTGTTCCAGTTTGCTTTCTGCTGCTGTGATGACAGAAGAAAGGCAGGGAGGAGAGGCTGCGCTGGCTTACCCTTCCGGGTCTCAGTTCATCACTAAGGCAGTCAAGGCAGGGAGGAGAGGCCGCGCTGGCTTACCCTTCCGGGTCTCAGTTCATCACTAAGGCAGTCAAGGCAGTAACAAAGCAGGGACTTCCAGCAGAAACCACACAAGTGTATGCTTGCTGGCTTGCTCACTGGCTTCCGCTCATCTGGATTTCTTTTTCAATTGTTTTTATTGAGCTATATATTTTTCTCCTTTCCCCTCCCTTCCTCTCCCCTTCCCTTCAACTCTCTCCCAAGGTCCCCATGCTCCCAATTTACTCAGAAGATCTTGTCTTTTTCTACTTCCCATGTAGTTTAGATACATGGATGTCTCTCTTAGGGTCCTCATTATTGTCTAGGTTCTCTGGGATTGTGAATTGTAGGCTGGTTTTCTTTGCTTTACGTTTAAAAGCCACTCATGAGGGAGTACATGTTATATGTGTCTTTCTAGGTCTGGGTTACCTCATTCAATGTTTTCTAGACCCATCAATTTGCCTGCAAATATCAAGATGTCATTTTTTTCTGTGTAGTACTCCATTGTGTAAATATATCATATTTTCCTTATCCAATCTTCGATCAAGGGGTATTTGTAGCGAGCTGCATGAAGCCACATCTGATCATCAGCTCCTAATTATGGCTAAGACCTGACTTATGCTATTATCACGCAATGATCATCAGCTGCTTGCATATGCGTGAACCTATGGGCAATGCCCACCTGGCAATCCGGGATTGGCAGCCCATGCCTACTTAAGGGCTGAGAGAGGTTTGCCCAGGGAGAGAGAGAGAGAAAGTGAATAAAGTCCTGGAATAAACTGCAGCAGGAAGAGCTCAGGTGTGTTGCGTCATCCTTGCGGGACGAGGAAGGACGTGACAGGTATTTAGGTTGTTTCCAGGTTCTGGCTATGACAAACAATGCTGCTATGAACATAGTTGAGCACATGTCCTTGTGGTATGATTAAGCATCCTTTGGGTATATACCCAAAAGTGCTACTGCTGTGTCTTGAGGTAGGTTGTTTCCTAATTTTCTGTAAAATTGCCATACTGATTTCCAAAGCAGCTGTACCAGTTTGCACTCCCACCAGCAATGCACGAGTGTTCCCTTTACCCCACATCCTCTCCAGCATAAGCTGTCATCAGTGTTTTTGATCTTGGCCATTCTTACAGGTGTAAGATGGAATCTCAGAGTTGTTTTGATTTGCATTTCTCTGATGGTTAAAGATGTTGAACATTTCCTTAAGTGTCTTTTTCAGTCATTTTAGATCATCTGCTGAGAGTTTTGTTTACATATGCATTTCTCATACAGCCCAGGAGCAGCTGCCTGGGGATGGCACTGAACGCAGTGAGCTGACCTAAGTCTATCAGCAATCGAGGCAAAAATACCCACAGCTGGGTCTGAAGGAGCTTCAGTTGAGGTTGCAAGGATGAACTCAGGTCACAGGGCTTGGTTGGGAAGCTTTTACCTGCTGCTTGTTTGTTAAGACAGGGTTTCTCTGTGTAGTCCTGGCTGGCCTTGAACTCAGAGTTCCACCTGCCTCTACCTCCTGAGTGCTAAGATTAAAGGCCTGCGGCGCCACCACCTGGCTTTACCTGCTGCCCCTTTAAAGAGCAGCAACACACACTCTCTAACAATGCGGAGAGTCTCCTTGCACCTGGCAGACAGAACAGAAACACTAATACCATTGCACCAGACTGGAGTTTCCATCCTGCGACCAGATGTGGAGAAAATACATAAGCAGTTTATAATATACAGGTAAAATTCCTTCTTCCACTTTTAAAATAAATACACGGGGCCAGCAAGATGCCTCGGGAGGTAAACATAAATGGGAGGTAATCGCTCTCGTGGAAGAGAACTAATTTGTCCTCAACCACCATGTGTGTACTGTGGCATTCCAATACATGGCCTCCCTCTCTCCCTACCCTCTCCCCGCCCAACACACGCACACAAAATAAAAAATTAAATATAATTAAGATACATTTAATTCCACTTAAAAAAGAAACATAGGATCTGGTGAGAGAGCTCAATCAGCAGAGTGCTTACACCCAAACCTAAGGACCTGAATCCCCTCCCAGAGCCCTTCGGAGAAGCTAGGACTGGTGGTACATGCTTGTAATCCCAGCTGCGATCCCTGCGGCCCACTGAGCAGCCAGCTCTAGTAAGAAATTTTGTCTCAAAAAACAAACAACGATCGTGGCTGGTGCCTGCAGAATGATATCAAGACTGTCTTCTGGCCACAAGCACGTACACGTATGCAGAGTGATATCAAGACTGTCTTCTGGCCACAGGCAGGTACACATATGCAGAGTGATATCAAGACTGTCTTCTGGCCACACACACACGTACACGTAAACACCCCCAAGGAAAACACGGAGCTCGGGAGGTAGATTAGTGAGGAAAGTACTTGCTATGATAGTGCGAGGGCCTGAGTTTGGATCCCCAGCACCCATGTAAAGTCAGGCATGGTGACACACATCTACAACCCCTATTTGGGGTAGCTGTGTGTGTATGGCAGCTCTGGGGACTCACTGGCCAGCCAGTCTGTCTAAACGGTCAGTTCTGGATTCCGTGAGAAACATGAACTAAAAAAATAAGGTGGAGGACAACAGAGGAAGGTATCCAAAGTCAAGTGTATATATACATATGTTACCTTCCAGAGTTCTGCAGCCACAGGCTGGTGTGGCGGGTTATCGCGGTATATATACGTATTATGTATGTGTGTATAAACATGTTACCTTCCAGAGTTCTGCAGCCACAGGCTGGTGTGGCGGGTTGTCGCAGTATATATATGTATTATATATGTATATATACGTATTATGTATGTGTGTATATACATACGTTACCTTCCAGAGTTCCGCGGCCACAGGCTGGTGTGGCGGGTTGTCGTGGTATATGTCCTCCACAGCTTTTCTCCAGAACTGCATCCGCATCAGTCCAATTGCTTTCTCAGAGACCGAATCCTTAACCTGTAAGCAGAGTTTAAAGCTCTAGGCTGCAGACATAGCTTAGTGGGAAAGTGCCCGTCTGTCTCATATATGGAAGCCTTAGGTTAAAACCCCAGAATAGCCAGGTGGTGGTGGCGCTCTCCTTTAATCCCAGCACTCTTGGGAAGAGCTAGGCGGATCTCTGTGAGTTTGAGGCCAGCCTGGTCTAAAAGAGCTAGTTCCAGGACAGGCTCCAAATCAACACAGGAAAATCCTGTCTCAAAAAACCAAAAAAATTAATTAATTAAATTAAAAACCAAAACAAACAAAAAGCCCAGAATAGAAACAAACAAATGAAGCAATTATTGTCTGAACACCAAGTCTTGTGAGGAGACTTCTGAGCTAATCAGATTGTCCCGCACCATTACTAGGGTGGTCAACACGGTGTAAACCCTACAATGCACATTCCTCCCGGTGCTGTTAGTTAACCTCTTTATTAACATAAGACATAAACCAGGTGTGGTGGCTCAGGCCTCCAACCCCAGGATCCAGGAGGGAAAGCAACTGCCATGAGCTGGAGGCCACCCTGGGCTACGTAGTAAGTTCCATACTAGCCCCATGCCTACATTCCTAATTAAGCCGTATATAAATTAATGAGGAGATCAGAGGACAACTGTGGGAGTCAGCTCTGTCCTTCTACCAGTGTGTGGGTTCTGGGGGTCGGGCTCAGGCTACCAGGCTTGTGGGGTAAGCACTTTTACTCACTGAGCCATTTCGCTGCTTTCCGAGTTGTTTCTTGGGGATGAAGAGACAGCTCAGTGGTTAAGAGCACTGGCTACTGTTCTCAAGGTCCCAGGTTCAATTCCCAGCACCCATATGGTGGCTCACAGCCATCTGTGACGACAGTTCCAGGAAATTCAATACACTTTCTGACTTCCACAGGTACCAGCTGCACACATGGTATACAGACACACACACACAGGCAAACCCTTATACACATTAAATAATAATTATATAAAAATAATAGTAATAAAAATAGCCGGGCGGTGGTGGCACACGCCTTTAATCCCAGCACTTGGGAGGCAGAGGCAGGCGGATCTCTGTGAGTTCGAGACCAGCCTGGTCTACAAGAGCGAGTTCCAGGACAGGCTCCAAAACCACAGAGAAACCCTGTCTCAAAAAACCAAAAAAAAAAAAAAAAAAAGATAAAAATAAATTTATTAAGCTAGGGTGGAAAGCTTGGGTAGCACAAACCTGTACCCAACACAGTGGAGGCAGGACCAGGCGTCCTCAGCCGTATAACAAGTTTAAAGCCAGCCTGGGTTACAAGAGAGCCTATCTCAAAAAAATCAAAACAATCAGTCATTTTCTTCAGCAAACAGGCTTCTGCTGCTACTACTCTACTACTCTGTGTCTCCAAATCTGCTTTTTGAGAATCATTACAGTATTTGCATTGCTTTGATTTTCTGCATGCATGTTAAATTGAGCATCCTTGGCTCACACGGGCAGAGCAATTTTTGTGATGGCCTGGGAAGTGAGCAAGCGGCAGGAGCTTCATGTATCAGCTCTGAACTACTCCTGCACTGTGGGTCCCAAATCTGCAACACTGGTGAATCAACAGGGCTGGAGAGATGTTTCGGCAGCTCAGGGCACTTGCTGTTCTGGTGGAGGGTTTGGGTCCCAGCGCTCATATGGTGGCTCCAACACCCACTTCTGACCTCTATGGGCACAAGACATATATGCAGTGTACAAACATACATGCCGACAAAACACTCATACACATAAAATTTTTCAAATAAATTTTTTAAATGATAAACCAAGAAGGATTTTCCTGCTCTCATATCCCTACATATCAGTGTAATTGCATGAAGCTTGGCACGGCACACCCCTTTATTCCCAGCACTTGGGAGGAAATGGCAGGCAGATCTCTGCAAAAAAGGCAATGGAGTTGGAGGGCAGTCTGATCTACATAGTGAGTTCCAAGAAAGCTCAGGATACACAGCAAGACTCTGTCTCAAAAAAAAACAAAAAACAATAACAAAAAAACCTCAGAGTGATGGTTCAGACGCCTCAGTGCCCAGGAAGAAGGAGGCTTAGCCGAGAACGAGGGCAGCAGCCAAGGCTCCAGCGGAGAGGCAGTCTCCCAGGAGGTGCGTACTCTTGGCACCAGCAGTGGCAACAAACAGCCTGTCCTGTACATCAGCTGAGCTACTCCTGTGCTTACGTGCTGTGGTGTGCGTGCGTGTGCCGCTCTCTCCCAGACCCCACACTTCCCTATTCCTCATTCCCGGTGTCTGACCCCTCCACTCGCTGTCCTGAGAAGACCAAGACCATTCGGCTACAGCCCCTCTGTTTCCACACCATCTGACACGTTTGGTATCTGCTCATGTTCTGCCCTCAAGGAAAAAGGCTCTAGTCTTCCCCTGTATTCTGACACAGAAACCAGCCAGGGTCTGCCAGACTCTCTGTGCTCTGCACGCAGGCGTCCGGAATATTCTCCACTGCCACTTCCCATTAGATTCTCAACGTTTTCCATCTTCTATATGCACACCACGTGTGTAATGTTAAGAGAAAGCAGGAAGATTCGCCTTAGTTTATTCAATTAATAGACAATGCTAACTGCAAATTTGTAATATACTCAGAAAAACTTAAAAATCTAAAATCATTTCCAGGAATATTAAATTCACCAGCTAGTTTTATGTTCTGGTACTGAACTAAGCCTAAGTCTTCTCCGGGAGAGAAAGCCCCTAGCAGACACGGTAAGGATGTCTGCCATGCGTGCGCTATGTCTTCACTGTTGAGTATGGCGCATATTCTACAACATCATAACATTAATACCAGCCTGAGCTAGCTCCACGTTGAAGGCCCTGAGTGCAGACACAGAACTTCGGCATTCTGCAGGGAACAGCAGGGAACACAAGTAACTTTCATAATCCCGCTTCCTACAACAGAACAAGAGAAAAGCAGTCAGCTTCACTGTCTAAGCCGCACACACAACACTGAAAAACCAACTGGGAACAATGAAGGTTTGACAGGTTTCTCTGTAGCTCTGGAGCCTGCCCTGAAACTCACTCTGTAGACCAGCTGCTTGGTTCTTAAATTATTTAACTTTCTCTACAAGTATTTCTTAAAAAAAAAAAAAAAAAGTACCTGCTTCTCTTTTCAAGCATGTTAAAAAGGAAATCCATATTTTATCTTTATTTACAAAGCACTTGTAATTGCTTCAGAATATTTTGCTTTTAGTAAAACTTGGAGCGAGCTTCAAAAGAAGAAAGCAAAGCTGGACCTGTTGACACACGCTCGTGATCCAGCACTTCAGAAGCCAGGGACGGAGAGTCAGGAGTCTGAGGCTAGCCTAGGCTACATGAAACTGTCCCAGAAACAACAACTAGCAAAGACAGTGGGCGCAAGTATGAAGAAAACAGTTTAAGTAATCTTTTATTACATATACATAGACACAGAAATAAGAATATAAACCAATGTGTGCGTGTATTTCTGCATTTGCTAAAAGAGCCTAGAAGCACAAATAATCTCCACACTCCCAGCATCAATGAATAACACCAATTACCTGGGTAGAGACACTGGCTCCTAAGACCTCAGACATTCTTGAAAGAATGATGCCCAAGTGGAGCGGGAAAAATATAAAACAAGCCAAAGACGTCTTAAGCATTCAGCAAAGAGTCAAAGAATGAAAGAGACTTTCTGGTCAGAACAACACCAGGAAGAAGCCTGACAAGAGTCTGCAGAAATATGAGTATCCAAAGGACAACAGCTTGGGTGTGTTATGTGCTCAGGAGGCTGCAGCAGAAAACTGCTTAAGGTCAGCTTTCGAAAACACAGCCAGAGGCTGTGTTTAGTATATAAATTACTATATTATATACATTAGATATTATATTATACATAATATTATTATTATATAGAAATATAATGGCTAGTGTGTAGGTCAGTGGTGCAGCGTTCAGTCTCCAACACCATAAGGAAAACACAGGAAACAAACGTGACAGGGTCAGCCAAAGCCTATGATCTCAGTACTTGGGAGGATGGAGGGAAACCCTACATACCTGCCAAACACAGAAGCAAACACATTTTGGATTTATTTCCCTAACCAAATCCAAGGTGATTTAGTTACTCTAATAAAGCTTAGGCGGTGGTTCTGTTTAAAAGCAGAAAATGCCCGGTGGTGATGGCACACGCCTTTAATCCTAGCACTCGGGAGGCAGAGGCAGGCGGATCTCTGAGTTTGAGGCCAAACTGGTCTACAAGAGCTAGTTCCAGGACAGGAACCAAAAGCTACGCAGAAACCCTGTCTCGAAAAACAAACAACAAAAAAAGCAGAAATCAAGCAAACAAACAACAAACCAAAATGGTGGCACAGACCTTTAGTCGTGGCACTCGGGAGGCAGAGGCCGTGACTTTCAGGACAGCCTGGTCTACACAGCCAACCATGTCTACATAAAGACTCTGGGCAGTGGTGGCGCACTCCTTTAATCCCACACTCAGGAGGCAGAGACAGGCGGATCTCTATGAGTTTAAGGCCAGCCTGGTCTACAGAGTGAGTCGGGGCTGTTACACAGAGAAAACATATTGAAAACCTAAAAATAAAAAAAAATTTTAAGAGCCGGGTGGTGGTGGCGCACGCCTTTAATCCTAGCACTCGGGAGGCAGAGGCAGGCAGATCTCTGTGAGTTCGAGGCCAGCCTGGTCTACAAGAGCTAGTTCCAGGACAGGAACCAAAAGCTACAGCGAAACCCTGTCTCGAAAAATCCAAAAAAAAAAAAAATTTAAAAACAAAACAAAGAAACAAAAAAACCCTGTCTTAAACAAAACTGTACCAGACACCACTGTTAGCAAGGAAGGGCAAACTACAGGGTGGGGAGGGCGGGTTAGTTAAACCATCAATGTTCGCAGGGCTCTATTCCAAGGCAGGTCCAGCCAACCCCACATCCCCACTCATGTCTGTGGAGGAACTCCCAGATGGATTTCCAGACACATCATGAGATTGTTCTAGTAAATCTCAGGCAACTTCCTTGTTCCTTTTATCTGACACGAAATGTGGTCATCTGTCTATTAAATACTAACCTAACAATGTGCCAGGCATTGAGTTAAATGCTCTAATTGTTAAAGCTTTATTTTTAAAATTGTACTTATTCTTACATATATGAGTTTTTTGCGTACACATATGCACCACGCCGCTTACCTAGTGCCCAGGAACTCCAGAGGGGATTGGCTCTCCTGGAACTGAACTTACAGGCAGTTGTGATCTGCCATGTGGGTGCTGGGAATTGAACCCAGGCCCTCCAGATCAGTCTGTGCTCTTAACCACTGACCCGTCTCTCCAGCTCCTAAATGCTCTAATTCTTACAACCCTTGATGGGATTCTCAGTTAGTAGGGACCGTTAAATAAGTTGCTTTGGACTTTAATTTTTGTAAACAATTTCTAGTACAGTTTCATGAGGCTGATATGTGACCGACAATAACCTTGAACCTGCCTCTCTCTACTAAGAAGTGTGCCAGGTTTTGTATGGCGCCCTTGCTCTAACTAACCCTCGTGTGCGTGCTAGGCAAGTATTCTAGCAACAGAGCTAAATCCTCAGCACCTGTGAAATACTTTGCAGAGTACACTGACCCCAAGGTCACTTAACGGTGTTAAAGTCACTAGCTGTCTATGAATAAAAAGTGCTAAGAAAGCAAAGGTTGCATGCTTACATTGCATGCAAAGGTTGCACGCTTACATTGCATGCAAGGTCCCTTAAAATTAGGGTTCAGGCAGGGAACGCGTTGAGCAGGGGAAGAAATCCCGACAAGATTCCAGGGCCACGCGAACAGGTACCCGCACGGAGGCCAGCAGAAGGCAGGGCGTGGTGGATGCAGCCCCTGATCGGGGCAGAAAGCAGGACGCCGAGGATGCGGTCCCAGCTCACTCCCCGCCCCACAGGCTCCCGCTCTCGGGGACGTCCCGGGGCAGCGCCGCCGCTCACCTCAGCAGCTCCAGGCAGTAGTGGTCGGAACCCGGGATGCCGGGTCCGCTGGCCGCCGCCACGCTGCGCCGAACCGCCGAGGGCCCCGGGAGCCGCCGCGCACGGTCCCACACGTCCCGAGGCGGCCGGCGACGGAACAGGCCGGCCAAACCGAACGGCCTTGGGCTGCGGACTGAAATAAGCCTGGGAGTCGCCATGACACCCGCGTCGCGTGCTCTCCGACCCCGAGGCCACGCCCCGTCCCTCGGCCACGCCCCTGCATGCGGCCACGCCCCCGGCAGGTCCCTGCGCCCCCGCTGAGGGAGTCTGCCTCTCCGACCGGAGCCAGGTGTCGCTGTGCTCCCACACTTCTAGCGTCCGCCCTCACAGGACTCCAGAACTCCAAAAGAAGTTGTCCGTGCCTGCTTCTCGCAGAAGGAGCGGCAGACGTTGCATCCCTCCACCCCGGAGATGCCAACCTCCTTTGGTCCTCAACAGGAGTAGGAGCGTGCGTGGCTCTTAGCTTGTAACTGCACAGCCGGAAGCCTGCCATACTGATTTATCCACACGTATTCCCAGAGGCCTCCCAGTGCTGCCTACTGGGTCGCCTGTAGCTCCAAGAGAAAAAACACAAAGATGCTGGAGAGACAACAGGTTAAGCAGCCATTATCAACCAGCAAATCCCCAGTCTGTAGCCCGCTGGCTGTTGGCTGTCTCTCACAACACAAGAGGGCAGAATCATTATTTTGTTTCTTGCTTCATTCCCATTGCCAGTCCCTAGACCTTTGTAGAAGGTCTTCATATGAAGGTAAGGTCAAAACGTGGAAGGACACATCTGTTAAGCCAGCAGTAAGAGGCTGAGATGGAAGGGCCGGGCGTTCAAAGCCAGCCTACGTTACACAGTGAGGCTGAAGCAACACAGGAGGAGAGAATTGTGAACCCAGGAAAGGGAAGTAGCCTCTCAGCCAGGGATCAAAGCGTTTTTTGCCTGTGGAGGATCTCGAATTCCAATACGAGGCTGCAGAGATGGGTCCGTGGGTAAGAAAGCTTGCTGTACCTGATGAGATAGAGAGATGGCTCAGAGGAGCAGGAGACAAAAGAGAGTAACAGGAGGCGAATACAAAATACATTATGTGCATACCAGAATGAAATCCGTTATTATGTATAATTAATATATGCTAATATGATGCTTAAAATGCGATAAAAATGAAATTATATTGCACATGATTATTGTTACCAACTATTATGAATTGAACATGCAGCAAGTATGGTGGCACACACATGTCATACCAGCATTTGAGAGGTAGGGACAAAAGGACCGATAATTGAGTGTCCAGCCGGAGAGATGGCTCAGTGGTCAAGAGCACATATTTATGTTCTAATAAAAGGGAGGAAGAAGTGGGCGTGATCTGAGAGGAGGTGGAGGGGAAACCATAAGGAGAATATATTGTGTGGAAAAAATTATTTTCAGCTAAAAACAATAGCACTTGTTACTTTTCCAGAGGACCCAAGTTCAACTCCCAGTGTCCACATCAGGCGGTTCACAACCACCTGAACTCCAGCTACAGGAGGGATCCAAGGCCACTGGCTTCCATGGGCACCCACACATACACACAGTTAGAACATTTGAATTAAAAAATAAAATAAAACAAAGAATTGAAAGTTATCCTTGGCTACACAGTGAGTTTGGAAGCCTGTGTGGGCTATCTTTAAAAAAAATAGAAAGAAAGGGAGAAACTGAATACATAAAAATGGAAATACATTCTTACTCTAATTCTCAGATATCAAGAAATGTCTTTGAACTCAAAGCGCCCTTTCTCTGAGAACACAGTCGAAGCAGAAAGCTCACTGCCTGTGCAGAAGATCCAATAAAGACCACAGAAGCGCACTTGTTAACGGGGCCTTAAGCCAGATTGGTTGCCCACGGTGGCCACCTTAGTTAGCATTCTATGGTAATGGCTGGAAATGACTTTCGTCGTGTACAAAACACAATGGCATATTTTCCCAAATATAGCCCGCTTTTCACTGTTCTTGGGTTGATTAATAACTACACTGTAAAGAGTTCTGTTCTGTTGTTCCAGATACTATTCTACCTCGGATTTTTCCACAGCCTCTGTTGAGAGCTTCTCGTGCCTCATGCCAAGAGTCAAGCTAACTTGTTGCAAGAGCTCCGTTCTGCATTTGTTTAGTTTTAATGTCAACATAAATTTATTTTCTTATAGTTCTGAGATCAGTATGCCAGCATTTTATATGTCCCGCTGTTGGGTTTGTCATCAGAGGGCCCTCCTTTAGCAAAAACTCAAAAAACAATGTGTGTGTGTGTGTGTGTGTGTGTGTGTGTGTGTGTGTGTGTAGCTCCTTCCACCGTGTGGATAACATGGGTAGAACTCAGATTTGATGCTTGATAACAAGGACCTTTGCACATTGCGCCATCTTGACAACACCTACCCCCTTTAAAGGTTTATTTTTATTTTCATGATTATATGATTATATTCTTGGGGGATCAGTGCCCATGGGGGCCAGAAAAGGGCATCAGATCCCCTGGAGCTGAAGGAACAGGTCGTCATCCACCCAACTGGATGCAACAGACAGAAGGGAACTTCCAGAAAGGCAGCGAGTGCCCTCGACCACTGGGTCATCCCTCAAGCTTTGCTTTGCATGTTTTGTATTATTCGTATATAATAGGTCATATATAAAAACCCAACACAACAGACTCCCTCACTGAGGAAGCTGTGGTTCTCCTTGCTAATCACCACACTCGAGGTGTAGAGGCAGGGGATCAGGAGCTCAAGGTCACTCTCGCCTGTGTTTGAATTAGAGGGCTGCCTAGGCTGTAGAACACCTGTCTCAACTCTCCCTACCCTAGTCCCACCCTGCAAGAAGAAAAGAAAAATACAGGCAAATGCATTTTTAAAATGTCATACTAAAACCTATAATTCAAAAATTGCTGTCCATATTTTGATATTTCCCCTTTTTAAACATAGACTTTGGTTTGACATATGGCCTGTCCAATCTTACTTGATTAGTCGAATGTTATCACACATTCTTACGCTATGATTTTGTTCATTTCAAGATATTTATCAAGTATCTACTCTGTGCTTACACTGGTTCAACGGCTAAGATGTTAGGGTGTACACACACGTTAGAGGCTGGGATGTGCACACATGTTAGAGGCTAGGATATTAGGATGTGCACACACGTTAGAGGCTGGGATGTACACACACGTTAGAGGCTGGGATATTAGGATGTACACACATGTTAGAGGCTGGGATGTACGCACACTATAGAGGCTAGGCTGCCAGAATTGTACAGGCTCTGTGTCCTCTCCATCCCCTTCTCCTTCTCCACTGAGACAGTCTCACCATGCAGCTCTGGACCTCACTATGTAGGCCAGGCTGAGCTCAAATTCACAGATGTCTGTGGCTGCCCCCGCCTCCCAGGTGTCCTTTTAATCACCTTCAGCTGCTGTGTGCCCAGACACAGAACTTTTGTCATCTGTTAAAGCCAGGACTAACAAGAATAAAGTAAAATTTTAAGCAAATAAAAATGACCACAAGTAATTATAAAACATAGTGACTGCTATTCATGAGGCAGAGACAGGTGAATTTCTGAGTTCAAGGCCAGCCTGGTCTACAGAGCAAGTTCCAGGACAGCCAGGACCCAGGACTACATAGAGAAACCCTGTCTCAAAAAAAAAAAAAAAAAAGCACACCCATGAGAGGGGGGGAGGAAGGGAGGAAGGGAGGGAGGGAGGGAGGGAAGAAAAGAGTCCTAGAGTTTTTATTGCTGCAATCAAAAAGTCAGTTGAAGAGGAAAGGGTTTATTTGGCTTACACTTTATTATTGCTAGTCAGGACACAGGGCAAGAGCCCAAAGACAGAAGTGGATGCAGAGGCCTTGGAGGGGAGCTGATTACTGGCTTGCTTCCCATGGCTTCCTAGGTCTGCTTCCTTATAGAACCTAGAACCACCAGCCCAGGGATGGCAGCACCCACCATGGGCTGAGCTCTTCCCCCCATTGATCTCCAAATGAGAAAATGCCTTATAGACAGATCTCATGGAAACATTTCCTCAGCTGAGGCTCCTTCCTTTGATGACGCCACACACAAAACCACCCAGTACAGAAAGAAAAAGAAAAAAAATATAGGTATCTACTCAATCAGGATAGAAAATTAAAGCAGGGAGTTGAACAAGATTAACTCTCAGGCAGCAGGAGTTTGGGTGTGAGCAATTCAAGGTCATGAAAGTCCGGCACAACCTCCCCTGAGTCGGTCTGAATAGGAAATGTCCCCCACGGGGAAATTCTGGAATCCTTAAATAGAAGCCAGAGAAGTAGCTTAATAAAGGCCAGAGTTTGTAGCCACTGCTAGTTGGGCCTACACATTTTGTTTCCTGGTCCATGACATGTGAGAGATCATGACTGCATGCTCCTGCAGCCATGCCTTCCCACCATGATGTCACCACTGCATGCTCCTGCAGCATGCTCCTGCAGCCATGCCTTCCCACCAAAGATCAGTTTTTGCAGTCATTTTCAAAGGTATTTGTGTTAAATTATGATCAATTCATACCTAACACAACTTTTTAAAATACCAAGACTTAAATAAAAATAAACAAAATGTTTAACTTTATAAACATTTAACAACATCATAGTTAATTTCATTGGCATATGTAAAGCTTTAATTATTTAATCCCCATTATTAAAAGAGAACACAATTGCATTTTCCTATATTCACACAATACATCTAACACCAGTTGAGAGTCCTTCATATGAAATGATTTAACATAAACAACTGCACATTCCACAGATTAAAGGGCTTAGTCTCTCAAGACTGACGCCTGACAGACATAACAAGAGGTGGATCCCCAGGCGACCTATGCTTTGTTTAGCATGGCTATAAATCGAAGGTTCCCTGACATAGGACACAGTAAAGGACACATATGAACACAGGTGATGGACACGGTACAGGACACATATGAACACACAGGTGATGGACATGGTACAGGACACAGATGAACACACAGATGATGGACACGGTAAAGGACACATATGAACACGCAGGTGAAGCGTTACATTAGGTGAGATTTATGGGGAGGCCATGGAGTTTCCATGCAATCTTTGAGCACATTTTCTCCCAGCCCCTTCACTTGTTCGCAAACCTAGGTGATCTCTGGAGGAAGATCTTCCTAGCAGAGGATTTTATGGGGGCTTCCGCATGCAGGCATGCCTGATTATTAACGCAATTACAGCTGCTGGAGTTAGG